GTGGTAGCCGCCGCGCATGTTGACGCAGATGTCGCTGGACACGGCGTACGGGCTGCTGTGAGCGCACGGCGCCTCGCCGCTCTCGCATTCGTCAATATCTGACAATGTACAGTTCCTATCACCGTCATCACCAGCCTTTGTAGACTACTGGACATGCACTCCGAGTTTTTACACATTTTTTATGGAAAACAAGCAAGCGGCCTGAATCCACCGAAATGGAAAGCGACCGCTGCCCAGACATCCGCAATTGCAGATGCGTTGCCTACCTCAATTGACGGAGGAGACACATAAAGAGGACACTTTACCTTTCTTATGGGTCTCCTCCACCGTCAAATCCACTTTTCCTTCCGATCCTCTCCTCTTAAGAAAAGGGTAGAAAGGGAAAGGGACTAAAATTAGACCTCTTCCACCACACTCATCAGACTGTACGCGGAATTGCTTCCACTTCACACCTGTCTTGTGTGGTCGTGGTAATGCTAGAGGCGAGACCTGCAGTGCGAAGATGTTAAAGCGGGCTCTACAACCACACATATCTTTACTTGCACAACTAAATATCAACTACCGTGCGCACTAAAGAGCGAGACTAAAGGGTGGGGAGACATAATAGTTTGTTCAAAGATGTGTGCATGTGTGTCTTAAAATGACGATAATGTTTCAAAGGAAGAAACAACGTTGATTTTCATAAGATTAAGATAAGAACAGTGTCTGACTAAAATTTTTAAGGGATTTTCTTTAATAATTTAAAACAACTTACCAATACAACTTCTTTTATCTTCAGATAATCTGTATCCTTTGGGACAAGAACAGCGATATGATCCAGGCTCGTTTAGACATCTCCCGTCGCAGAGATGTCTCGACTTGTATTCCACACATTCATCGACATCGACACATGTACTGAAATTATATTATTATATTTATTTTGTCACTAAATCCTAATAAGCACTTATCAAATGGTACAGTCAACTGCTTCAGGTTTCCAACAGAATTACAAGAATAAAATTATTTGGTAATGAAAAACTAAAAAAGCTGACATTCCCTGACTTGTCTAAATTGGTTTAGGATTCAGACAACAGGACAGACAGTTCCTAATGTTTTGTTAGATGGATGGATGTTTGTTAGAGTTTGTAGCCTAAACTGCTGGACGGATCTCGATGAATGTCAGAGATGTAGAGGATAGTCTGGAACACAGGCTACTTACTTTTGTTTCTTTTTAATTCCACGGGAACTGAGTCAGGGGGAAAAGCTAGTAGAAATGGGAAAGCTTGGTTGGGTAAATGGATATTTGTTAGAGTTTGTAGCCAAAACTGAACGAATCTCTATTATTAGTATAGACGTAAAGGATAGTATTTAAAATCACATAGGCTTTTGAACCCGAAAATAGGTGAAGTTCCCGTGGGATACACTAATTTTGTTTTATTTTTTTTATTTCAACATTTATTATTGAAATTTACCACAGATAAGACAAAGTCCGGAGTAACGGATACCGTTTGTTACCAAAAATGTCAGGTTCCTATGGGATACATAGTTTTTAATATTTCATGTTACTGCTAACATAACTTTAGCTCTGTTGATATTTCAATTTCCGTCTTTTACCTGTTATCCTGGCTGAGACGGTACCCTCGATGACAGGAGCAGCGGTAACCACCCCATACGTTGACGCACCCCTGCTGGCACAACGTCCCTGCTCTGTTCTCCTCGCACTCATTCACGTCCATACAAACCTAGTATAAAAAAGACGCTGTACACGAACTGTACACCGTATTCAGTTCAGATTGTGGTCTGCTTAAAACGATTGCTTGAAGTCCTAGTATGTTTCTTCTTAGTGTAATAACTTGGATATAGCAAATAAAAATATTTTTTTATAATGAGCGAGTCCAGGGGCGGGAGGGGAAAGACCCCACCCCTTAAAATGAACACCATTAACATGGCAACTTCCCCCTAGACTTAGTATCATTTATAACAGTTATTGTATCAAAATTTACGAAATGATGAGGTCTAAAAGTTTCCGATTATTGTAAAAAAACTGAAACGCACCTTATCATTGCGAGGAGCGGGCCGGAAGCCAGGATGACAGCGACACTGGAAGGATCCTAACGTGTTGATACAGTCGGCGTTCTGCGAGCAAACCGGCTGGAAAAGATATTACTTGTCAAGTATTCTGAATAATAACAGCAGCTATAACTTCTGAGATCTAAAAATTCTTTAATTTTCTCTAATTCTCTGAATTTCTAGATGAAATTCAAATTTCCTTATTTATTTTAATGGTAGAGGTAGACATAGAAAGAGGTGGTTTGCATGAAAACATGATCAAGAAGGGAATGACTGAGACGACGGATAGAGTTATTTGGAGGACCAAAACCAGTACGATAAGGTAAGGAAATGATGGTCTTTCATACACTTACGATACTCCCAGCGGCGGCACATTCATCAACATCTTCACACTCATGGTCTCCCACCAGCGTGTAGCCAGCAGGACAGCTGCAGGTGTACCCGCCGGGCAAGTTGGTACACAACTGCACAAACCCGCACTTCGCCTCGCCACTCATACATTCATCAATATCTAGAATTAACTTTGTTTTAGTATGTGCTAAAATCCTATACATCTGCTGTTAGTATTTTATTATACCTTGACATAAATTGTCATATCCAAGTTCGTATCCCGCTGGACACTTAGTTACCCTGTCTTCGTCAACTTTTGGTTTAGATGGCCGGCTCTTTGTACCATAATGTATACCGTTTGAATTATACGCTGAAATCAGATAAAGTACACTAAAAACCACACTTATATAGAAACATTTAATTGCTTAAGTATTAGAAAGTAACACACAGGAAGCGTAAACTTGAAAAGCCCATTTCCTACAGATTACTATCTCCTGTATCCCAAATGCAAAAGTTTAGATGGATAGATACAAGAATGAAATCTCGATGATATTTGGCATAGATGTAGAGGATAGTCTGGAAGAGCACATAGACTAACTGCTATTTTCTCTTTCAGGCAGACAGAGTCGCGGGCGAAAGCTATAAAAATATATTGCTTCTATTTTATTACGCAATGGGCAAGAAACTTGCATCGTGTAAATGTGCCTTTATATATTAACTGGCATGCAAGTAGTTAAACAATATTTGCTTTTGTGCAAGTTATTTAAGGGAAGGGTCAGGGTACTATCTTATATCGAGATCAGCTATTTATGGCCGGTTTCCTAAGTTTAACCATTCGTTAGTGTGTTTGGTTCGATAAATTCGTGAAATGCGTATCCGAACTACGTAACTTGAGTTTTACTTAGTTGGAACATTATTAACTTATGAACCAATAGGTGACAAAACGAGTGGATACCTTAGAAAGTGGATACCTTTTACAATGTGAACACACTCTTAACTATTCTTGAGTACTTATTCGTGATACTTACAGGGTTCGTTCCCATATCCTTGTGGAAACTGTTGATTGTTCCTTACTGGAACACAACGCTGTCTTCTACTGTCCAGTTCCCAGTTAGGTGGACATTCGCATCGGTAACCACCTTCTGTGTTCACACATATCTCTACCGCCGCACAGTTCGCTTGTCCGTTTGTACACTCGTTTATATCTGTAGAAAGTACAAGATAATATCCCTGTTACGTAAAGCAGCTTTTCATTCACCAAATCATTCACTCCCTTAATCTTGTTACCTTTCATTCAATCCATTCATCTCTATGCCTATTCCTTTTTGAATGGCTTCAATTTAGGTTCATTTCCTTTTCTCCTTATTTCCTTTCCCTTTGTTATGTTTTAAATTGTTTTTTAACTTATTATAACTTGTATCTTATTATTTATTTCTTACCTTCACATGTCCCAGTATTTGTGTTGAAGAGATATCCCATTTCACAAATGTTTCTCGGTTTAAATGGCCTCGTTGGGAATGGTCGATATACCGGATAGCCCCAGAAAACTTAAATGAAAAAGTAATATAAAATTAAAGAAAATCCTGTGTTGAAAATATTAATTAAAAAAAAATACCGTATTGTGACTTACTTCGTTCAGTTGTTGGCGGAGATGATTGTGTAGGAGGAGATGTTGGCGGGGGAGTTGTTGGCGGGGGAGTTGTTGGCGGGGGAGTTGTTGGCGGAATAGTTGTTGGAGGGCTAGTTGTTGGCGGGGCAGTTGTTGGCGGGGCAGTTGTTGGCGGACTAGTTGTTGTCGGGGCAGTTGTTGGCGGAGTAGTTGTTGTCGGAGTAGTTGTTGGCGGTGCAGTTGTTGGAGGGGCAGTTGTTGGCGTAGTTGTTGGCGGTGTTACAGGTGGCATTGGAGGTAACGTAGGTGGTGGAGGTGGAGGAGGGGGTGGTCTTGTAACTGTCGATGTTGTCATAGATGTAGTCGATGACGTTGACCAATCAATATATATGCAGGTTCCCGAAGTTAAATCCCTGCGGAATCCGGCAGCGCAATCGCATACATATCCTCCCATGGTATTCCGACAAACTTCCGTCAAACCGGAGCAGATGTGACGATTTGTTGAACACTCATCAATATCTATAGAAAAAAAATAAAAGTTTTAACTCGTATTTTGAACTTTCAATCGCATTAAATCACTTCAAAACTGTAGATTATTTGTATATTCTTACCATAACAAGCACCATATGCATCACTTTCGAAACCAAATTGACAGTTGATAGGTTTGACGTTAATTTTCGTCCATTCATTTGTCGGAATGGTTTTAGTGTCAACAGTTATAGAACCATCAGGAGTCTGTTCACCTCTCACTGTTGCTGTTTCTTTGCCGACTTCAACCATCACAACTTTAGGTGATGTAAGTGCACCTTCAGTTACTGTATCGTAAGTATCTATTTCATTTTCTTTAGGATCTAATTTGTCATGTGGTACTTCTACTGGTGTTTTATTTATTGGATCTAAATTATATTTAGGTCCAGGTTGTTCCGTGCTATCTGTTTTTGGTCCCGCTGGTCTTTCCTCTATCGGGATGTAGGTAATTTCGTCTTCGGTAACCTTAGGTGGTTCTGTAGGCACTGGGGTGAAAGATTCTGGTTTTCTCGATGGTTCCGTTGTGTATTCAATTCTGTATATAGATTCACTTGATGTTGGTATATCTTTTGGGATTTCAGGTTGTGATGGTTTAGGTATACCGTTTTTGTTGTTGTCTATAGTATAAATGTTATTATTCAAATCTTGAGTATTTTCGATTGGTATTTCTTCTGCTTCATTATTACCAATATCTGGTTGTAAAGTCTGTATTTCAGGAGGTTTAGCTGTGGTTGGTTTAGTTGCGCTGGTCGTTGGTTTCGATGTAGTTGATGTAGTTTGTTCAGGTTTTGGTTTATCAGAACTGGGGTTTGTATTGTTTTTATTGACGTCATCAATTTCCTCTCTGGAATAAAACAAATTAGAAATTGGACAAGTATTAAAATGCGAGCACACTAATTGTGCAACTAAACAGTTGACTGCGAAACAATCGAGAATCGCACAACAGTTGTGCTATAGTTAATATCGATCAATACTAGCTTTCACCTACGACTCCGTCCTCGTGAAATTAAAAAAAAACAAAAGTGAGTAGCCCCTGTGTTCTTCCAGACTATCTTTTACATCTATGCCAAATTTCATCTAGATCCGTTTATCAGTTTAGGCTACAAACTATAACATCTATTCATCTAAATTTTCGCATTTCTAATATTAGTAAGATTTGTTACTTACTCAGAATCGTAGTATTCGTATTCGTACTCCGGAGCCGGTGTGGAGGTGGTAGTGGTGGTGGTGGTGGTGGAGGTGGAGGTGGAGGTGGGGCGGCGCATGCAGCGGAAGGAGCCCGGGATGTTGTGGCAGCGGTACTCGGGCCCGGCGCGGGCGCAGTTGTGAGTGCCCAGAGCACATTCGTCAATATCTGCACCAAATATATCGAATACAGTCATGGCACAGGATATGTTTTTTTAACAAGCAATATCCGCCCAAATGGCGAAACGATCGCTGCCTACCCATCCGCAATAGGGAATATGCATGCATTATTTTTCGTTTTTTAAACGATTCCACTTGTTAAAACCAGAAAAAAATTGACGCGAAAATTTTTAACCATTGAGCTAAAAATAATAAAATAAAATTATGACCATTTTCGAGCGACTAAAACGCGACCAGAGTTGACATGAGACAATTGACGTCAATCGTCTTATTCCATTCATAACATACGGTTAGACTCAGATGTCACTTCGACGTAAAAAAACAACAAAGTATCTCATTGCTTCTCAAGCAAATTGCAAAATTGCACCAAACTTTTTTTAAGTATACTTTATTACTATAAAAATTTCCTGCAAAGATTTTTTTAAATATAATGTGATTTATTGGCAAAAGTTAATCATTAAAAAGTATTTTTTTTTTCAAATTCCCTCGCTAAGTTCTAAAACGCACACTATTGGTCGAAGCAAGTGGCTTATCTAATATGAAGTCGCTGTGTTGTCAATACACAGTTCATTTACGTTAGTTTATATAGAAATACACTCTTGAAGTATTTTACTGTAAACTCGATATCAAAACCAACTTTAAAATAAAAAAATACTAAATATAATTATTAATTACCACTTATTTGTACCAGGAATAATAAAAATGAATCGATTTTTGACTTTTTGACCTTCAAATACTTTATTGTTTTTTACATCGAAGTGACATTTGAACGTATGTTATGAATGGAATAAGACGATTGACGTCAAATGTCTCATGACAACTCCGGTCGCGTTTTAGTCGCTCGAAAATGGCCGTAATTATATTTTATTATTTTTAGCTGAATGGTTGAATATTTTCGCGTCAATTTTTTTTCTGGTTATTTATAACAAGTACTTTCGTTTAAAAAAAGAAAAAATACATGCAAATTCCCTATTGTCAACAATGCCTCTCTATATTTAGGAATGTCTACATCCAGTTAAAAATAATGGTAATTACCTTCACATTTGCTGGAGGAATGATGCAGTATGTACCCTGTGCCGCAAGAAATGAACCTCACACAGAGGTAAGACCCCACAGTATTGTCGCAGCGCTGGGACTGCGCGATGCAATCATTTTGATCGGTAGCACATTCATTTATATCTGAAAAAAAATAACTTACTAATATTATAAATGCATCTGTTTATTTATGTGAAAGGTTTTTTTCAAAGAAACGACTGCTGTTTATAGCCATTCGAAACAAAGGACACGCGCATAAAGAGAAAATTTCGACTTCCTATGTATCTCCTCCTTTCCTTTCCCATTGTTTCCTTATAAGAAAATGGTCAAGACCACACAAAAGACAGGAGTGAAGTAAAAGCAAATCCTTTTTCGTCTGATGAGCCCAATTTTATCCCCTTTTGTTCCCACCCTTTTTCTCATAAGAATTGGATGAAAAGGAAACGTGTATTTGACGGTGGAGGAGACGCACCGGAAGGGTAGGCAACGCATCTGCAATTGCGGATGTTTATGAGCAGTGGTCGCTTCGCCATTTTGACGTATTCAGGTGGCCACTTGCTCATTTGCCATTTTATAACATAACTAGCTGTTCCCGTGCGGCTTCATCCGCATGAAATTATGAAAATTTCATTTTATTGTTTACATTTGTCAAATTATCAATAGCAAATGTCTCAACAATCTTGCTTCCTTAATGTTGTCAGCAACTTATGGTCTCCCACATTATCGTTTTTATCCAAAATATTTACCCCCTAAGTTTAATGACGTGAAATATACAGCCTAAAGCGTGACGTAAGTGTTGAGCTTTTTATTAAAAAAGAATTATTCAAAAATATGCTGTAATTACTGACATCTTAGGCAACAAAGAAGTGTGTGTTTACGCTTTATTATAATAGTATAGACATGTAATAATAGTACATACCAACACAAGCCCCTGTAGTTGTGTCGAGTTCAAATCCTATTTTGCAGTTACAAGTATGTCCGCCAAATGTATTGTGACAGGTTTGGTACTGGTCGCAAATATGGATACCTTCCGCACATTCGTCTATATCTGGAAATATTAAACGTTTTATCTATACTAATATCATAAAGAAATATTTGTATTTTTGTATGTATGTAAGTAACTCAAAATCAACTGGACAGATTTAAAAAAAATTTCACCTTAAAAAGCTACATTATCGTGAGTAATATTACTAAAATGGATATTTAGCCTATGGGCCATGTTTAAATTATTTTTAAATTTTATAGACAAAGTCACGAGCAATCTATAATAATATAAAGACAAAAGATTTGTATTTGTATGTATTAGTTACGTAAAAACTACTGTCCGATGTTAAAAATGGGCAACATAGGCTACTTTTTTACTTCCATGCGGACAAAGTCGCGAGTAAAAGCTAGCAATGGAATAAATAAAATAATGCATGTTTATTACAATTTACCTACACAACCATGGTACTCGGCGCTGTATCGCAAACCATCTGCACATTTCGGGTTTATTCCAGTACTGAAAAAAACTTTAAGGTTATCTTTTGGGAAAAGAAATAGTAAGAACGGACGCCTTTGACTAAAAAATCGCACAACAGTTGCGATCGATTGTTTTGCAGTCAACTGTTTAGTTGCACGATTAAAATTCGAATAGTGTAACCATATAAGCTTATAGGAATCAAATAATCATCATCACCAGCTCATTATACGTCCCCACCGAAGGGTTTAGAGCCTACCCTAAGTTAGTGACTAGGTCATAGTCAACCTGCACTGCGGCTTGACTTCACACATATCTTTGAATTTCTTCACCGATAGCAGCATCACGATGTTTTCCTTCACCATAAGAACGTCGGGTAAATTATGTATGAAAATTCTAAAAATCTAAAATCACATTACAGCGGGATTCGAACCCAAGACCTGTAGATTACAAGTCAAGTGCTTAAACCACTGAGCCACTGACGCTCCGCTATAGTTTATTAAATCTACATTTTTAAATCTATTTTTTTCTTACCTCGATATATCCGTAGATTTACAATTATATTCACCAGGTAAATTGACACATATTTGATTAGGCTTACAAATATCATCATTCTCCTCACATTCATTGATATCTGTAAATATATAAAAGATAAAATAAATATCTTTTCAAAGTTATACATACATTATATATATTTCGTTGCAAGAGAGGAAAGAGATTCAATAATATAGAGAAGGCATAATTGACACTTTACTGGAAACATTTTTCATATAACAGATTCTCAAACATGTTAATATAATTTATTGTAGTTAAATTATTTTTTTTTATAATACGAGGTGACAAACGAGCAAGCGGCCACCTAAATCCACCGAAATGGAAAGCGACCGCTGCCCATAAACATCCGCAATTGCAGATGCGTTGCCTACCCTAATTGACGGAGGAGACGCACATAAAGAGGACATTTCCCCTTCCTATGCGTCTCCTCCACCGTCAAATCCACTTTTCCCTCCCATCCTTTCCCCTTAAGAAAAGGGTGGAAAGGTAAAGGGACTAAAGTTAGGCCTCCGGCACCACACTCATCAGACGAAACGCGGAATTGCTTCCACTTCACGCCTGTTTTCTGTGTGGTCGTGGTATTACACCGGGCGAGCCGGCCCATTCGTGCGAAGATGTTAAAGCGGGCACTACCACTGTTAATTGCCCATAAATGTCATTAAATAATATTTACATGTTTAAATTTCATTTTATAACACTGTTTAGTTTCTTTATTTATCTTTTTGTTTTGAGTATATTAAAGGAAGTTTGAGAGTACCCCCAGTGGTAGAGAAGGTAAGGAGTAAAAAGTTAGCATGGGAGCATGTGATGAGGAGGGATGAATCGCATAACAAGGAGAACGTTAGTTATGAGTGTGGTACACCGGTAGATGTAGACATAGAAAGCGATGGATGTATTGCGTGAAAGGTGACATGATCAAAAAGGGAGTGATTGAGTTGACGTATGATAGGAGTTACATGGAGTACAAAAACCTGTTGCGCCGACCCTACGGGAGTAGGATAAGGAGAAGGAAGATGATGATGAACAATGTTTGTTTCTTTAACAACAAACTAGCTGTTGCCTGCAACCTCGCCCACGTGAAATTAAAAATACATAGCCTATGTTACTCACTGATAATGTATCTTTCTAAAGGTGAAAGAATTTCTAAAATCGATCTAGTAGTTTTTGAGTTATTCCAATACATACAAAGATATCTTTATAATATTAGTATAGACGAGGGAGCTTAGGGAGTATAATTTTGTAAAATGTTTTACAACATGTCAATACACGAAACGGCACTAATCTTGACAACTGATATAGTACCTTTTAGAGAAAGTACCGATGAAAAAATATTCACTGCCTTGTCTATATCTTTTTATATGTCTACATGAGGGAGATGAAAGATAGAATAATGTACACGTAAGAAAGAGATATACATTTTTCAATATTTAGAATACAAATAAATAAATAAATGGTGTATTATTTCAATTTTGAAAATATACATTTCACGAGAGCCTTGGCTCCTGCACTAGGTTCCCCTGTGCTGTAGGAGCCAATATTATATTTTTTTATTATTGACTAGCTGTTCCCGTGCGACTTCATCCGCATAATATTATGAAAGTTTTATTTTATTGTTTACATTTGTCAAATTATCAATTACAAATGTCAAAATGACATGACGATGACAAACCATGGCTATCATGCTTCCTTGATGTTGGCAGCAACTTATGGTCTCTTTCCCACATTAAGGTTTTTATCCAAAATATTTACCCCTTAAGTTTAATAGCGTGAAAATGTATAGCCTAAAGCGTGACGTAAGTGTAGGGCTTTTTATTAAAATAAGAATTATCCAAAAACATGCTGTAATTGCTGACATCTTAGGCAACAAAGAAATGTGTGTTGACGCTTTATTATAATAGTATAGATTTATATAATCTTTAAGATATAGGATATTTACCTTCACACTTGTTAGTTACATGATCAATCTTAAAACCGGGTGGGCAGTGCTTAGAACCTTTATCTTGACAATAAAAAGAACCTCTCGTATTTATGCAGAGTTGTGATTTTAGATTACAATCGTGTTTGTGAACTGCACATTCGTCTATATCTGAAAATAAAATACACTTCCTGAGGTTTTATACATACGAGTAAATATTTTAAAGCGCGAAGGACGCGTCGAATGTGTGCAGTTTTGTTACATGAGAGAGACAGAAGATACAGGTGTAGTGTGAAAGAAAGAGACAAACATACACAATGGATTACAACGATAGTTTTGCGTATAACCAATTGAACATTTATAAATTTTTAATTTAAAACTTAAAAATGTTCAATTTAATAATTATAATTTTTAAAATAATTTAATTTAACAGTCACGCATATTAATTTTTTTTATAGTATTTTCTTCTTTTCTGGTAGGGGGGGCGTTCGGAAGTTCTAGATTATTAGATAGGAGGTGTTTCCATCCCGCTTCAACCGAATTAAATTATAAAATCTTTCTTTCAATTAACACAATTTTAAAATTTTTATTTGAAAATGTCAAAATTCAAATGTACAAAAACAACGAAGGCCTTTGATAATAATTACCGTTACTATGGTAACATGTTGTCAGCTTGTAATTTTTATCTCTTTTCCGTATGACGGATTATTCCAAATTATTTACTCCCTAAGTTTAATAGCGTGAAAATATATAGCCTAAAGCGTATCGTCGAATCGTCGAAATCGCCGAAGGCCTACTTTAAGTCCCTTTCCCTTTCCACCCTTTTCTAAAGTGGAAAGGATGGGAAAGAAAAGTGGATTTGACGGTGGAGGAGACGCATAGGAAAAGGAAACGTCCCCTTCATGTGCGTCTCCTCCATCAATTGAGGTGGGCAGCGCATCTGCAATTGCGGATGTTTGGGCATCGGTCGCTTTCCATTTCGGTGGAATCAGGCCGCTTGTTTGTTTGCCATCTTATATTATAAAAAAGTGTAGGGCTTTACTTTAAAAAAAAAGAGTTATTTAAAATATGCTGTGATTGCTGACATCCTGCATAACAAAGTAGTGTGTTTACGCTTTATTATATTAGTCTAGATTATTCTAACCTTCACAATCATCGCTGCCGTTACTTTTGAATCCAGGAGGGCATTGATCTTCTGCGTGTTTCTTTGGTAAATTCGCCGGATCTCCTTTTATACCTCCACATTTGTAAGCTCCTACTGTATTCTCACATAAATACGAAGGGCATGGAGGTTGTGGTAATTTGCATTCATTTATATCTGAAAAACAATCAAAAACTTTATCAGGGGGTAGTTAAAACTGTTTATTCCTGTAACCACAATTCTTGTAAATTGTCATAATAATCTAATGTCTAAAATTTGTGATGGAAATATCTGATTTTGGTACTCTATCTACAGTGACGGCAGTTTTAAGCTATCTGAGCCTCTATCAGCTAGTTGTGGGACAGGCCCTTAAAGATTTTAAATTTGAAATCATCGTTGTTAAGTATAATTTATTTTAAACGAAAACCTTACTGATTCTAAAAACCCTAGTTAAAATAGAAGGTAATAAAAATCAGGGTTTAGACGTAAAAGATATTTAACCCCCTGCTTTTTCAAGAATGGGGTTAACTGAGAGTATGTACTCTACAAGTATATCTAGAGGGTGGCCATAAAGGGGGTTTTAGTTAATAAAACATATTCCACCCCAAGGGTATCCTTATTAAAATTATCCCTAAATACAAAAAGGGGGTTATCAGAACGAACAGTAATTTAAAAAGAAGATGAAGAAATAGTTTAAGATAATTATTTAAATCCCTGTTACATTGCTATTTTTTTTTGTCAGTAGGAGCATTTGTTAGTAACATTAAAAATTCTTATAAATTACTAGCTATTGAGACTTCGTTCCCGTGACATTAAAAGACAAAAACGCCTATTTTACTCAATAATGCAATAGTTTTTTAATAGCGAAAGAAAGAAAGCCCTGTAGTTTTTGAGTTATTTCAAGACATACAAAAATTTAAATATTTCCTCTTCATATTAATACTAGCTTTCGCCAGCGACTCCGTCCGCGTGGTATTAAGAAAAAACAAAAGTGAGTAGTCTATGTGTTCTTCCAGACTGTCCTCTGGATCTATACCAAATTTCATTAAAATCCGTTCAGCCATTTAGGCTACAAAGAAACATACATCCATCTAAACTTTCGCATTTCTAATATTAGTAAGATATATAGATAGTATATACATAAATTAAATATAATAATATAAATGCATTCTTACCATCACAGGCGTTGTTAAGCATATTCCTAGAGAAGCCAGGCGGGCACTGACCCTTCTCTATCGTCATCTTCTTAAGAATACATTTGTATGAACCTTGTATGTTAACGCATTGTGTGTTCGACAGACACACGGGCGGATTTAACAGACATTCATCGATATCTGAAAAGAAAGTATTATTTCAGTAGCTTTCGCCCGCGACTCCGTCCGCGTGGGATTGAAAAGGACAAAAGCAAGTAGACTATATCTTCTTCCAGACTACCTTTTTGCCAAATTTTATCAAGATCCGTTCACTAGTTTAGGCTACAAACTAACAAACATCAATCTCAACTTTAGCATTTTTATTAGTAAGCCTAGCTGTTGCCCGTGACTTCGTCCACATCCACATTAAGATAAAAAGTTGCCTATAATACAAGTATGTCCGTCTATGTCAGCTACCATTCAGTAAAAGTATACCCTTCCCCTACAGTACGTAAGTGTAAGAATCGGCCCAGCCGTTTCGGAGATTACCCGGAACAAACGCGGCTTGCGGACAGACAGACAGACAAAAAAATGCAATTTTTGTTATCAACAAGTATACACTTCATATTCCGGAAATCTGGAATTGTTCAAATTTTATTACATGTATATATAGTTTGTGATACCACTATTTATATACCCTTTAGGAGTATTAGTGAGAATCGTTTATCTTCTATATCTTTCTAAGATAATACCTTCACATGATTTCCCATCAGCCATGAGTTGGTAACCTCGTCTACAAGAGCAGAGAACTTGGACCCCGTTGTCGTTACACTTGTGTTGGCATGGATTATGTGGCTTGCATCTGTTCTTCTCCACCTATAATACATTATTCAGAAATAAACACTAATACAACAGTGGTAGAGTTCACTTTAGCTTAACGAATGTGTAAATGGACTGACTAAGATGTGGTTATTAAGACGTGAGTGTTTTTGCCTTCTCTTATAAGAAAAGGATGGGAAGGAAACGTGGATTTGACGGTGCAGGAGATGCTTAGGAAGGGGAAATATCCTCTTTATGTGCGTCTTCTCCATCGATCTAGGATAGACAACGCATCCGCTATTGCAAATGTCTATGGGCAGTCGCTTTGCCAGTTTGGCGGATTCTGGTGGCTCGTTTGCCGTTTATGATATTAAAAAAAAAGACAAATAACCACAAACGTCAAGTACGATATAATTGCCAGAGAAGTAAACTTAGATCTATTTACTTGTCTGGGAAAGAAAAGGGATGTAAAACGATTATATTCTGTTCATCGTCTCAACTGGTCAAAGATTACAGAATACACAGTAGAGTAAACTTGGTACAGACTGAATTCCTTACAAGAAATTTAAGAAATAGATTCTTACCTCTATACAATTCTTTTTATCAGCCATCAATCTAAACCCTGGGTTACATTCACATTTGTATGACCCTGGTATGGGTATGCAATGGTGAGCACAAAGTTCATTCGGCGCGAACATATCGCAAACTGATGTCAAGTCTGGAAGGAAGTTTATTCTTTATACATTTTGAACAACTTCAGTTAGAGGGGACACACCTTTGACTAAACTCTCGCACAACTGTCGTGCGATTGTCGAATGTTTCGCAGTCAACTATTTAGTTGCACAACTAAAAATCGAGTATTGTGCGCTCCATAGTGCGATAGTTTAGACAATATAGTGTATTTAAAACAAGAGGGAACATCAAGTTGTGTATCAACAAGCAGCAAAAATAACTGCGAATTTCTTACCGTCTTCTAAAGGTTTCCTCGTAACTATAGCATCACCTGGTCGAGTTGCTGTTTCTGTTCTTGATTGACTTGCTGATTTCTGTAATAAATGATCCATTATAACACCACATACAGTAAACAATAACTGGAATGCTAACACGATATTTAGTTTAAAAAAGTAGATTTTTTGGTATCGGAAGATAATCTTCCAAAGATTCCCTGTCTTTTTTTATAAAAGAAAGGGTTATGTGAGATATCTACTTACTAAAACCCACTGAGGCCACCCTCAGCTGCGATTTAAGGGTCCCGGGATCTCGAATAGAACACGCCGGTACCCTCTGCATAGCTTTTAATGAAGGGGATAAGTTCACGTAACTTTACGTGACTCGCAAGTTGCAATTTACCTACATCTGTAAACACGGCCTGTTTTAGAAACACATAGCTACTGTTAGCTTACCTGACAGCAAGTATTAAATGCATTTCCTGCCAGCGGGTCGCCGCTCTGTCCCCTCGTGTCTGTAACACATGCGAAGCCGCCGCGGGCAATACCTGCCGCTGAACCTTTCAAGCATTCATCGCAGCATTTCTGTAACATCACTTATTATTATCTACTAGCTTTCGCCCGCGACTCCATCCGCGTCAAATTAATAAACAAAAGTGAATAGCCCATGTGTTCTTCCAGACTATTCTCTACATCTATACCAAATTTCATCGAAATCTATTCAGCCGTTGGTTACAAACTCTAACAAACATCCATCCATCCATCGTAAGTTTCGCATTTATAATGAAATCGTATTGTTTGACACAATACAAATGACCTATAAAATTGGCCTAACTATATTACTCATTTTTACCGAGAAAGTAAGGTAGCGAACACACTAATCTTACTAATATTATAAACTAGCTTACGCCCGCGACTTCGTCCGCGTGGTATTAAAAAAAACCAAGTAGCCTATGTGTTCTTTCAGACTATCTTCTATGTGTATGAAAAATTTCACTGAGATCCGCCCAGCAGTTTAGGCTACTAACTCTAACAAACATCCATCCATACATCCATCTAAACTTTCACATTTATAATATTAGTATGATGTGCGATGGATGTTTGTTAGTTAGTAGCCTAAATGGCTGAATGGTTTTGGATGAAATTTGGCATAGATGTAGAGCATAGTCTGGAAGAACACATTTATTTTTAATACCAAGCGGACGGAGTCGCGGACAAAAGAGTTATATAATCCAAACATTACTCGTCTTTCAAGCTATCTGACGCGTTATCAATGCAACTGATAACAGATCCCTAATTACCCACTTACGGAGTGTTTGGTTAGGCGATACTTTGTTAGGTCAACGCTACACTTAAAGCTATAAAAATCACAGCATCTGCTCTAAAGTACTAAATTAATTTAAAAAATCTTAACTATTATTAATTCAGTTTCCCTGTCTTATCTCGTTGATAGTGTACTAATCAAACTGAATTAAAATAAACAATATTTTAACAATATTAGAATAGTAGACGCTACTAGTGTAGCGCAAGCTTTAGATTGAAGTCCGGAAGGGCGAATTCCGCTCTGCAGACATATACTTCATTCATAAAACTCCAAAACTGCATTGAATTGATAATAACAAAGAAACATCGAAATCATTTAAAAAAACATTTACAGACCATCTTACTAATATTATAAATGCGAAAGTTTAGATGGATGGATGGGCGGACATATCGATGGATGTTTGTTAGAGTTTGTAGCCTAAACGGCTGGACGGATTTCGGTGAAATTTGGCATAGATGTAGAGGATAGTCTGGAAGAACACATTACTTTTGTTTCTTTGGTTCCACGCGGTTTGAGTCGCGGGAAAAACTAGTAACGTAAAAAAAATCAAAGTTGTCTCATACATAGTAACTTGTACGTAGTACATAAAATTTTACTAACTTACCCTTGAGGAATCCTTAGATAAACTACAATCTTTCTTGCTAGTTGCTATATCTATTCCAAGATCACACGCTTCCGTTTTTCTGAAATTAAAAAAGAATGAATGAGTAAATGAATGAATGAATATGTATTTATTGCCACACAAACAGATATTACATAAATGGACTTTTCTAAAGAAAACAATCGTGGCAAAAGGTAGCTCAGCGTAAGCAGGACGGACTAAGCCGTTCCTGCGCTGATTTTCTACCGGCTTCTTCGCACTCAAGTAACATATAGCTTAATTATTAGGGTACTAATTACAAAGGAAACAAAATTAGTTCTTATTCAACAATTTTTCTGCTATTAAATCTCATTCTAAACCGTGTTATTTTATTAAACAGGACGCATAGCAAGATTTCCGAGAGTCTTCGTAACTGATCAACTTAATCCCTCAGTTTTCTAGACTTTATGGTTCTTGGAATACAAAGATGTACTAAATCTCGTTTTATCTTAGCACTGTAAAGATTACTAAAGTAATTTATTATCTTGCAGATTTATTTATTATATTCGCGAGAGTACAAGTACCGACTAATTTATAAGACAGTTAGGCATGAAATCTAAATTCCTTACATGTTTTCACGTCTATCAGATTGTAAGCGTTTACAAAACGAACTATTTTAAATTCGTTTCATTTTTTTTATAACATAAGATGGCAAACGAGCAAGCGCCCACCTGAATCCGCCAAAATGGCGTAGCGACCGCTGCCCATAGACATCTGAAATTGCAGATGCGTTGCCTACCCTTATCCGATGGAGTAGGAGACGCACATAAAGAGGATATTACCTCTTCCTATGCATCTTTTCCATCGTCAAATCCACTTTCCCTTCCCATCCCCTCATAAGAAAAGGGTTGTAAAGAGAAAGGGACTTAAATTAGGCCTCCGGCACCACACTCATCAGACGAAACACGGCATTGGTTCCATTTCACGCCTGTCTTCTGTGTGGTCGTGGTATTACACCGGGCGTGCCGGGCCAATTCGTGCTAAGATGTTAAAGCGGGTACTACGACTGTTAAATCATTATTTGGCCGTTGAAATTTTTAACCACACATAATCGAACACTTCGACTATCACCTATCAGTTGGAAGCGTTTATATAGTATTTAGATAAAATTCGTTTCAGTATTAGGCCGTTGAAAAACCACACATAATTGAATTAACAATTCCACTATCACCAGAGAAATTAGTCGCACTATACCATACTTATAGATTTAAGTGTCTTTATCTAAATATTTATTGAACACTTCAAACGAAACGATAATTCAGTTCCGATGAGTTAAAAGTTTGATCATTTGGTCCATCTGTTATCCATCCGTACTTCATTTGTTTATGCTAGTTTGACACGAGTGGAACTAACTGTTAAAGTATTTCTGTTCTGTTCTTATGCATTTATAATCTGTACTACATTTAACTTGTTACCGACAGCGCGGCAGCCAAAAATACAAAACACTTTTTATCAAACTAACACATCTTTCGAAACTTATTTACACAAATATATACAAAACTCAAAACTATCTTGATCACATCTTAACTTCTTCTTCTTCCTTTTTTATATATTTTCCTTAACCAACGATAAATGCCTTGGTGGCCAGTATGCAACCTCTTTGGCTGTATACATACTTTTTGTCACCCAAAGAGGTTGTATTTTGCACTCAACAACTATTATAAAGAGAAAAATTTTGTTTGTTTGACTGTAATGAATAGGCTCAAAAACTACTGGGCGATTACAAAAAATCTTTCACCGTTAGAAAGGTAATCTGTGAGTAACATAAACTATATTTTACAATGTTTTTTTTTTTAATTCTACGCGAACGGAATCGCGGGCGAAAGCTAGTATGATATATATGGCTATGCTTCACAGTTCTATCGTGTAAAACTCGCATTACTGTAAAGATAATTCGAGATATAAATATGAGAGTGTACTTATGAAATCGTTCACACTATCACACTACGGAGTATAGTGTGTATTGCCCCTAATAATGTAACCAACTTGAAACACAATTGACATTATTGTTATAGATTGTTGACTGATATAAACATATTTGAACGCAGAAATGCATTTATGACACCGTAAAATTGTAAACATAGAAATTCTCTAATCTATCTAGTCTATATATTTATCTATACTATATTATAAAGATTTTACAAGTGTACAGATTAACAGTGGTAGTGCCCGCTTTAACATCTTAGCACTGCAGGGCCGGCACGCCCGGTGTAATACCACGACCACACAGAAGACAGCGTGAAGTGGAAGCAATTCCGTGTTTCGTCTGATGAGTGTGGTGCCGGAGGCCTAATTTTAGTCACTTTCTTTTTACCACCCTTTTCTTATGAGAGGATGGAAAGGGGAAGTGGATTTGACGATGGAGGAGATGCATAGGAAGAGGAAATATCCTCTTTATGTGCGTCTCCTCCTCCGTCGGATAAGGGTAGGCGACGCATCTGCAATTGCAGATGTCTATGGGCAGCGGTCGCTTCGCCATTTAGGCGGATATAGGTGGCCGCTTGCTGGTTTGCCATCTTATGTTATAAAAAAAAATGAAAGATTTGTATTTTTGGATTCTTGTATGTATTCGATTCACGTAAAAACTACTAGGCCGATTTCAAAAAATCTTTCACCGTTAGAAAGGTAATTTAATTGTGAGTAACATAGGCTATATTTTTAAATTTTACGCGGGCGAAGTCGCGAGCAACATTTAATGATAAAATAAATGTAAACTTAAGCAACCCACCATATATTAAGTATTCGGCCGTTAGTGTGAACTATACGTGCGTTTAACGTTTAAAATGTATTTTTATACAGCATTAAAGCAGGGTAAGCCAGGTGCGAAGCTGTGATAAAAGACGAATTGCAGGTAAATAGGTCGATTGTTAGGAAACGGCAGCATATGCAGTATATGATCCTATGTAGAAAACTTGACGCAACACTTTTAAATCAGATTTCAAAACCTATGTAAATCAGTAAGAACTGAAGGTCATTAAATAGCCAATTAGATAAAAAATTACTACACGACTTTAAAAAAATAAAATAATAAAAGAAACTGGCTGCAACATGCCAACAAAGTTCTTTTTTTATTCCTTGTATTGACAGATTGACGGCGCGCGGGAGATTGAGATACTGATTAATGATTCGAAATTTAAAAATACGAAATTCGAAATTGTTTTCTTTTTTTAATTTCTACAGCCAGTATATTTTCATTGGCATGAAATTATTAAAACTTAAAATGTCAAAATTATTATTACTATAAAAACCTTGCTTCCTTAATGTTGGCAGCTTTTAGTTTATGGTCCCTTTCCCCTATTAAGGTTTTTTCGAATTTATTTACCCCTGTTTAATAGCGTGGAAATATATAGCCTAAAGCGTGTAAACGTAAGGCTTTTTATCAAAGAAAGAATTATTCAAAAACATGCTGTGATTGCGGACATCCTACGCCACGAAGTAGTGTATGTTTACGCTTTATTATATTAGTATATACTGGTATATATAACGGGAAAAAGTTTTCAGTAGTGTCGAAGTTTTCAGTATACTTACTTATAATGTTCCTTGCAGCATTGTTCCATAGCGTAAGTACATACTGTGGTGAACATTGGGGGCACGTTCGGGGGCACTGATGTCGGGCAATCAGTGCCCCCGTGAGACCTCGCATATGCCGTCCCCTGCTCACAGCATTGTTGGGTCATCTCTGCCATTTGGTCGGCAAGGGATGCTGTAATTAGAAAAAACTTGGTTTACACACGCATATGGAAAACATATTAAAAACTTTAGTATCTCTTTGTAAGTGGTTTTTGCTTAATATTATGTATTCCCATTTATTTTATTTTCCTCTGCGTCCATCTGAACATATTAATACTAATATTATAAAGAGGAAAGATTTGTATTTTTGTATGTATTGAAATAACTCAAAAACTACAGGGCCGATTTCAGAAATTCTTTTGCATTATGCATATGAGTAACATAGGCTCTATATTTTATTATCTTTTTAATTTCACGCTTGCGAAGTCGTAGTTAATAAAATTCAATTGTAATCAATATTGAAACAGGAAATCATTTTTCGTGATATTTGCGATGTCGATAACGAAAAAATGTTCCTCTTGAATTACTCTATCTATAAAAAAATCCATCACAACTCTTTGCGTATAGTTTTAAGCAAGCATAAAGAGATAGCGGGATGAGACTTTATTTTATAGCGTACGCACATCTTTGATTTCATCGCACAACTGTTTAGTCTTGCTTTGATTCCTATGAGCTTATATGGAGGTTACTCGATTTTTAGTTGTGCAACTAAACAGTTGAATTGGCTGCGAAGTCATCAATCGCACAACAGTTGTGCGCCCGATCTTATACGTAGTAATGGTTTTTGAATATCAAACTATTTATGTCGTAAGGTTGACAAATCAATGTCGCGAAATTAGAGCAACTAATTAGGGCAATTATTTTAAGAATGTATTTATAGAGAAGGATAACAATTATAATAGAAAATTCTATAGAAATAGATGGATATTTGTTTCCAGGTAACTCCAAAACAGACGAACCGATCTGTATGAAAGGTAGTTAATGTCTGGAATACTAACCTACGACTTGTGAGATTTTATATTCCGCGCGAATGAAGCCACATGCAAAAGCTAGTTTTAAATCGTCACCTGTCAATAATTCAGGTGTGGGATATGGCCACACAACGACTATCGAACGATTTGCAAGTAGCGGAGCTGCGAAATGAGTTGGAGGAGAGGAAATTGGACGCGAACGGTAACAAAAACGAACTAAGACGGAAACTCAGGATGGCCTTAGAGAAGGAAGGTAAAGATCCAGACAGTTATTTTGAAATTCCTCCGGCTGTTGACAGAATTTTGATCGAAAAAGTGCTGGAGATGGAAGAATCATCTAAATCGTTTCAATTAGCAACATATAATTTTTATACATATTTATGGAATTTGATGTTAACATAATAAATTCAATTGAGAATAGACATACTTCAATATTCCGCGTCTTTGTCACCGTAAAGTAGTAAATATGGTGAATTTATAACCCTACTAGTTTAACTTATAAGTTTACATTAGGCTACTAATTTGCGACTTTGTTATATACTATACTAGATGTTGCGCTCCTTCATACGCGTGAAATAAAAAATATAGCCTAAGTTACTCACAGATAAATTAAAAAGAATTTTTAAAATCGTTCCAGTAGTTTTTGAGTTATTTCAATACATACAAAAATACAAATCTCTCCTCTTTATAATATTAGTACAGATATACTCGTAGATTAGTACTGATAGTGTAAAGTGACTCTGAAAACATAGAAATGTATTCTAGCTAGTAAACTATTCAGTACTCTACTATTAGCCCAGTGTAAAGAATAATTCCGGTTGTAGAATTGTGCGCGTGATTCGAATTTTAAAACACCATTTATGATGCAATTTTGTAATCGCAGATCGCAAAAAGATGTCCCTATTTCTGTGAATTACATTAGTCTGCGAGATAGCAAACTGTCGGTAATCTTACTAATATTATAAATGCGAAAGTTTAGATGGATGGATGTTTGTTAGCGTTTGTAGCCTAAACACCTGAACGGATCTCCATGAAATTTGGCACAGGTTTAGAGCATAGTCTAGAAGAACACATAGGCTACTTTTTATCCCGGGAATAGTTACGGTTCCCGTGGGATTCATTAATTTAGTTTTTTTTAATGTTCACTCGATTATTCTGCAACGGTTCAACATATCTTATTGAAATTTGGCACAAATATAAAACAAAGTCTGGAGTACACATGAGATAAGCTTCATCCCAGAGAAATGTCCGGTTCCCGAGGGATACGTAGCTTTTTGTAATTTATATAGTTAGTATGTTTTCTAATACCACGCGGACGCAGTCGCGAGCAACAGCTTGATTAACAATAACACAAATACCACAATAAAAATCTAATACAGTTATTCTTTAGTCAAAATGTGGAAAACAAGTCTTAATTTGCGTTGAAATCTAGTTTTCGTTGGTGACTCCGTCCGCGAGAAATTACAAGAAAATTCCTAGCTGTGTGTTGTACCAAACTATTCTCTACATCTATACCAAATTTCATCAATCCGTTCAGCAGTTTAGGTTACAAGCTCTAAAAAACATCCATCCATGCTTACGCTTTCGAGATAGTAAGATAGTTGACATAGACTGGGCAATTTTTTTAACTATGACTTTAAATATTGAAAAAAACCCTAAATAATCTGTTCCATGAATTTAGGGAAATACCAGGAACTCATGGGACATGTGGGACAGATATATTATAATGGTAAATCCCACCAAAACATCTGTTGCGTTCAAACTTAAAGACAAACTTTGTTATAAGAGGAAAACGTAACGAAAATCCGGTGGGATATAAATTAAATTAAATGTTAATTAAAATACTTTTGCCCGCGACTCAGTACGCGTGGAATTTAAAACAAAACAAAAGTGAGTAGCCTATGTGTTCTTCCAGACTATCCTCTAGATCTATAGCAAATTTCATCGAAATCCGTTCAGCAGTTTAGGCTACAAACTCTAACAAACATCCATCTAAACTTTCGCATTTATAATAATAGTATGATTTGACTGCATTTTACTTTTTACAATAGTAACTTACTAATCTAAATGTAAATCTATAATGTATTTGCAAAATAAAGTGTTTAAATAACAAATGAAAAACAACTTATTTATTCAAAAATACCAGCACAAAATAAAATCACGAATTTTAAAATTCAGAAAGTAAAGAGAACTAAACTCTCATTCAGGTTAAGAAAAATCCTCGAAAAACAACTGATTTATTCAAAAATACCAGCCCAAAATAAAATCACGAATTTTAAAATTCAGAAAGAACTGATCTCTGATTCAGGTTAAGAAAAATCCTCTTTAAGACTTACCAGAAATTCCCTTGTGAAGGGACACAAAGAAAATACACAAAACGATCCACCGCATTATCACAATATTAAATAAACAGTACGATATAATTATCACAAACAGTTAAAACTATCGCTTCATATTGTCTTTTTAATTAAGGTTTTCTTAAACGATTTTTAACAAAAATCCATTTATCCTTATACAAATAGCGCGCAGACAGGAGCGACGCACGCGCGGGTCCGACTCGATCTATTTTAGTCTCGATCTCAGTGCAGTCGTCTCTTTCTTGTCAAAGATTAACCAACACATGTGATCGTGAGTTAAGTAGAATATCACTTTTATTAGTAACAACAAAACTATTTTTCGACAATCAAAGGGGAAAAGTGGTAAAAAAAAAACTCTACCCTGTGAGTTTTAAAGTACAGATTACTGTTGTTATTTTTTTTATTTGAAAATTTAAGATTAAATTTACAAGTGGTTAGTTTTGTTTTTAAATGCACATTTTGATAAAAATCTCTTACAAGAACTAAACCGATAAAATTTTACATTCAAATTGTATTCTAACTTTAAGGTTAGTGAAACATTATATCTAGGTGTCCTAATATTTAAAAAAATAGTCGTCATTTGATTATTTTCTAGTACTAAACGTGTTCTACAAAATCATGGCCTTCGGGACGATATAACCATAAATCGGTTTAAAGGCAGTATAGATAAAACACTCCTACACTTATCACCCACAGAAGTGTTTAAACATTTCACGAGCTGGCCACTAAATGGCATACAGTTACAAAATAATGTATAACCTATTTGTTTTAATATTGTATTTTGTTTGACAAGCCATAGTACATGCTTTTTAGTCAATTTTTTTCCCAGAGTTTTTTTTTTAAAGTGGCCACCGTAAAACATTAAATTATATTATATAACAATAATTTAAGGATGGACACTACAAATAAATTAGGCGAATGACGTATGTAAGTATAAAATACAGTTGTCCTGTCTACATTACCATTCTAGAATTCTTCCTTCCACATATAGTTCGTTTGCAAAGCACGCAGGATGTTTGAGGACGTTATGCGATTTACTAACTATTCGTATTTCGTATTAAAACTACTAGATTTTGCTTTGGAATCCGCGTGGAATTAAATAAAAAACTTTGTAAAAAAAACCCAAAAAATCTTTTAGACTATAAACTACTCCTAAAGACAAACATCCATTCAAACTTTTGCATTTAAGAAGATTACACTACATTATCATATTGTAAGGTATTCTTACAAATTCAGGTTTTAAATTACAAACGTATATTTTCCGTCTACTAAGGAAACTATTTTAGTCCTTTAGTATATTTTGAGGTTATATCCCGGTAAGTTCAAGGTGAAGGTTTGCGTTTTGGCAAGATTGTTTGGCATCGCCCCAACAGGCAGAAAACCTTAAGGCCTTGTTACAAATTTGCAGTAACTATTTATTAATAAATACATTTAATAACTAGCTTTTGCGACTTCCGCGTATAATTTAAAAACTTAAGAAGTCTTTGATTCGAGATTGACAGTGGTAGAGCCCAACATCTTCGCACTGTACGGTACTCCCCGTTGTAACGACCACACGAGACAGGCGTAAAGTCGAATCAATTCCGCGTTTCGTGTGATGAGTGTGCCGGTGGCCTAATTTTAGTCCCTTTACCATTCCACCCTTTTTAAGGGTGGAAATTTCCTCTTTATGTGCGTGTCCTCCGTCGATTAAGGGTAGGCATCTGCAATTGCCGGTGTCTATAGACAGCAACTTCGCGATTTCGGCGATTTCAGATGCCCCCTCGTTCGTTTGTCGCCTTATAAACAATAAAAAAAACTTATAAACAACGTGATCCGTTAAACCGTTCTGGAGATATCCAGTAACAAACATTTATTTAATAAGATATCAAAGATAATTGAAACGATATCTTGTTTACATCAATGTAAACCGACTGTTAAGTTTACGTGACCTCAATATCAGAAATATTCTCCAGATATGAAAGTTTCCTGTCCTCATTAAATGACCTCATTTAAACGATTGTACATATTGAATAATAAATAATTTATCCTCAAGCCAGACCTTGACATAATAAACCAATTGTCCGATATTTGGTGTTAGTAAATCACTAACACGCGAAAATATTAATAAATCGCTTTGTATTTATTAATTAGAGTGTCGATGGCTCTTGACATGTAATCTACAGATCTTGGGTTGGAATCCCGCTGTACCAAAGTGATTATCATATTTTTGAATTAAATATATACATAATTTGCCCGACGTTCTTACGGTGAAGGAAAACATCAATATGCAGTCTACACATATCGGCGAAGAAATTCAGAGATTTGTGTGAAGATAGCAGTGCAGCGTGGTTGACTAAAGCCTAGTTATCCTAACTTAGGGGAGGCTCTGAGCCCCTTATTATACGTATAGTGAGCTAGTGATGATAGAAGACTTGCTGAAGGCCATAAACTTAAGAGTTTACAAGTAGATGAAATAAACAAGATTTTCATCGAAACCAGTATTAAATTATATTTATTAACTACTAGCTATTCCCGTGCGATTTCATCGGCATAAAATTATTTTACTGTTTATAGTGTCAAATTGTCAATTACAAATGTCAAAATGACATGACATGACAACACTTGGCAATCTTGCTTCCTTGATGTTGGCAGCAACTTATGGTCTTTTTCCCACATTAGGGTTTTTATCCAAAATATTTACCCCCGAAGTTTAATAGCGTGAAAATATATAGCCTAAAGCGTAAAATAAGTGTACTGCTTATTATTAAAAAAAAGAGCTATTCAAAAATATGCTGTGATTGCTGACATCTTAGGCAATAAAGAAGTGTGTGTTTACGCTTTATTATAATAGTATAGATATGGTCTGTGTCCAAAAACTGTTGATCTCTTGTCTGAATTAAAAAGAAATATTTAAACTTCGGTGTACAGCAGACATAAAAAGACGGAGATTTAAAGAAATTAAATCCCTTCCAGGAATTGTTTCGTGTTTTGTTTTTGGGTAACAAAAACTTGATGTCCGTCTCGACTTTGATAAGTACTAACTTAAGCCTGCAAAATGAATAAAACGATCAAAATCATGCTACCAGTTAACTATTTGCCCATCAAAATTAAACTTATTTATAAAAATATACATATCATTGGAGTTACCAGGGAGAGGTAGGGGAACAACCATCCCCCACCTAGATAATAAAAACATCTTGCTAATATTGAAAATGCGAAAGTTTGAATAGATAGATGTCAAAGTTTGTAACCTAAACTGCTGAGCGAACCTCGCTAAGATTTGGCATTGATGTAGAGGATAATCTGGAAAAATGCATAGGCTTGCATTGCATGCATTTACTTTTGTTTTTTTAATTCCACGCAGACGGAGTTGCGGGAGAAGGCTAGTGTAATCAAAAATAAAAATACTTCGAATTATCAAATGCTAGCTGTTCCCGTGCGATGTCATCAGCATAAAATAATTTTATTGTTTACGCATGTCAAATTGTCAATTGCAAATGACAAAATGACATGACATGATGTCACATGGCAATCTTGCTTCCTTGATGTTGTCAGCAACTTATGGCCTCTTTCCCACATTAGGGTTTTTATCCAAAACATTTACCCCTAAGTTTAACGGCGTGAAAATGTATAGCATAAAGGGTAACGTAAGTGTACGGCTTTTTATTAAAAAAAAAAATTATTCAAAAATATGCTGTAATTGTTGACATCTTAGGCAACAAAGAAGTGTGTGTTTACGCTTTATTATAATAGTATAGATAGGTGCCTCAACCTGTCCTAGATCATTCGTTAAAACTAATTTTCTATTAAAAATAAACCAAAAATCCAAGTTAAAAAGGTACAAAAAACAGTAAATACAACCTTCTATCAGTTATAAATACCTCTATTAGTTAAAAAACCATAGTTATGGTTTAATACATCTCGGCTTCAAACAAATAACAATCATGGTATCTTCCTATTTAGTATGCGTTTGGTTGCTTCAGTACTATCGTATGTCTGCACGCTAACAATAGTATGGAATCACAAATAGCAAATTATAGCTTTAATCAAGGTCAAAAAGACAAACATATCTGTTAGTTTAACATTGTCATACTTAACTGATTGTTTCATCTTTGGATTACGCAAGAGAACTTGAATTGCGTTCTAATCGATTTGCCGTGCCCAGAGATTCCACTGTCCTGTACGAATCATACTTTTATTATACTAGCTTTCGCCCGCGACTCCGCGTGAGATTAATAAAACCAAAGCTGAGTAGCCTATGTGTTCTTCCAGACTATCTTCTACATTAGTGCCAAATTTCATCGAAATCCGTTCAGCAGTTTAGGCTACAAACTCTGACAAACATCCATCTAAACTTCCACATTTATAATATTAAGTAAGAAGTAAGATTGCTCGCGACTTTGTTCGCCTGTAAAATGTGATAAAAAAATGCCTATATTATTCAGTGAAAACATAGCTTTTTAATGGTTAAATAATTTTTGAAATCGGCCCAGTAGTTTTTTAGTTATTTCAATATATAATAAAATACAAATCACTCGTCTTTATTATATTAGTATAGATGTATTTATAGATGTATATATGCACAGATGTTAGATCATAGTCTGGAGGACCACATAAGATACATAACTATGTTTTTTTTTTTATTCCGCGCGAACTGAGTCGAAGGTAAAGTGTTTATTTTATACCATCAGTATTTTCAAATACATAAAATTCAGTGAAATCATGGCGACGTTCGAATATTTTCATTGGATAGCTTTTTTGACCGACTTCCCAAAAGAAGGAGGTATTCAATTCGACCGTATGTTTTTTTTTTTTTTATTTTTTTTTTTTT